CATATATCCCCGTCACACTACCTATGTACCCCAGTCACACTTCATTTCACACTACATATATACCCCTGTCACCACTACATATGTCACATTACATATACCCCCCTGTCACCACTACATATGTCACATTACATATACCCCCCTGTCACACTACATATACCCTTGTCACACTACATGTCACACTACATATACCCTTGTCACACTACATGTCCTATAAATATATATAAATATATATATATACACCTATGTCACTAGAACACTCTTGTAGATAAGACAGCATGCAGGATGTCACTATCAGGTGTGCAAAGTGTGTGAGTAATGACAAGCATTGTTATGTAAATGTGTATGGTAGAAATCCTGATGAATAATAATTATTATTATACAGTGCAGACAATGTCCACAGCACTTACATGTTGCACATTACCATGAGTACCTGCGCTCCAGGAGCTTACAGTCTAAGGTCCCCATCTCACACACATACATACATACATACAGGGACACATTAGACAGGAGCCAATTACCCTTCCAGCATATCTTTGGATAATAATATTCATCCCTGAGGAAAAACTAACTCCTCCATAGGGAGAAGAGCAGACTACTTCCACATGCCCAGGGATTGCTTCCAGGACATTACAGAAAAGTCTGTAAATTTTGGACAGCAACCAGTTCCTCCATCACTGACATGGGTCTGATCATACAGAAGAGTCAATGAAGCAGCCAACATCTGGCCGGGAATGTGTGGAACGTGCAGTGGAGCTGCTGCAGCACTTATTGGGGCAGAGTCACCTAACCCTGGGCTGAGCTGTCAATCATTGCCCACTTTCCACAACTTCCCCATCACTTCTCTAGGATGAAAGTGAACACACACATCGCTAACTGTATGTCTTGTAATAGCCTGAACCCCGATCCCGGGGATGAATGATCTATGAAATCAGTGCAGACGATCGGATGCAAAGAGCTGAGAAAAGTTCCCTACCGGCTTAGACATGATGTTAGGAGCGGGCTGATGTGACCGGGAACGAGCAGGAGCCGTGTGTGTGATGATCGCTCCCGGAGCCGGGCTATTAAAGGCCAGGGAGACACGTAGCAAAGTCCCCGGACCAACCTTTCGCCTCCTCTCCCTCTTCAGACCACGCCCCCTTCATTAACTACCGCACTCAGGGTGACTGGGCAACGCCGCCTGGGGTACTAACAAGGGTCAAGAGTGTGGGCGGAGCCCAGAATCTTCCGCGGGATGACCCCGCCCAACTAGCTTTAGCCCGCCCAGTTCTCATCATCTACTATACGGTAGTCGGAGTTTGAGGAAGAGGCGGCTGGGTGTCACCGAGGAGTCACTGTGACCAGAGTTAACGCACACTTATCGGCACACACATGCACAGGGTTACACAGTTAATTGACAATGTGTACACTTCTGCTTTGTGTTCCATAGGTAACAAGGCGTGACATCCTACACTGTGTTGTTGTGGAAGGATCCCTTCATCAGAGCGATGCAAGGTCACGTGATCCCACTTTGTTCCGTGCCAACTTGCATTATATTTGCGTTGCCATTGATTTTAATGGGCCTTTCCACAGATTTTGACATTTTAAAAAATGTACTTTTTAAAAAATGTAAATGTGTGTTGATGCATCTCATATATCTGAACGAGCAGCAAGAATGGGGATTTGCATGAAAGGTGTTAAAATGCATCATATAGTGCAGAGGAAGGCAGCCTCAGTTGTTGTGGAACTACAAGTCCCAAGAGGTATTGCAAGACTGACAGGCCGAGGTATGACCGCCAGAGGCATGGTAGGATGTGTAGTTTCACCACAGCTATAGTGCTGGGGTTGCCTATCTGATACAGGGTATTGGTGAAAACAGGCCTTGACGCATGCAGCAATATTGTCATGATCAGTGGTATGCCTAGGTGGTAGTGGAATGACACAGCCCTCTGCATCTCCCCGCCCGACTCATGATCCAGGCAAACGGCAGCATCCCTGGCAACTATCAACCGGGGGGAATGGGGGGTTTGCTGCCTCTGGCTCAGGTACTGCTCAATGACAGCAGTGGCTACAAGGAGCTTGGCGGGACACCAGTCAGAGGATCACAGGTTGCTAAGTGCGAGCAACTTGGAAGGCTGTGGCCAGAAAGAGCTATGAGCAACCTGGGACGCTGTGGCCGGAAAGAGCTAAGAGCAACCTGGAACACTGGCCGGAAAGAGCTAAGAGCAACCCGGGACGCTGTGGCCGGAAAGAGCTAAGAGCAACCTGGAACACTGGCCGGAAAGAGCTAAGAGCAACCCGGGACGCTGTGGCCAGAAAGAGCTAAGAGCAACCTGGAACACTGGCCGGAAAGAGCTAAGAGCAACCCGGGACGCTGTGGCCAGAAAGAGCTAAGAGCAACCTGGAACACTGGCCGGAAAGAGCTAAGAGCAACCCGGGACGCTGTGGCCAGAAAGAGCTAAGAGCAACCTGGAACACTGGCCGGAAAGAGCTAAGAGCAACCCGGGACGCTGTGGCCAGAAAGAGCTAAGAGCAACCTGGAACACTGGCCGGAAAGAGCTAAGAGCAACCCGGGACGCTGTGGCCAGAAAGAGCTAAGAGCAACCTGGAACACTGGCCGGAAAGAGCTAAGAGCAACCCGGGACGCTGTGGCCAGAAAGAGCTAAGAGCAACCTGGAACACTGGCCGGAAAGAGCTAAGAGCAACCCGGGACGCTGTGGCCAGAAAGAGCTAAGAGCAACCTGGAACACTGGCCGGAAAGAGCTAAGAGCAACCCGGGACGCTGTGGCCAGAAAGAGCTAAGAGCAACCTGGAACACTGGCCGGAAAGAGCTAAGAGCAACCCGGGACGCTGTGGCCAGAAAGAGCTAAGAGCAACCTGGAACACTGGCCGGAAAGAGCTAAGAGCAACCCGGGACGCTGTGGCCAGAAAGAGCTAAGAGCAACCTGGAACACTGGCCGGAAAGAGCTAAGAGCAACCCGGGACGCTGTGGCCAGAAAGAGCTAAGAGCAACCTGGAACACTGGCCGGAAAGAGCTAAGAGCAACCCGGGACGCTGTGGCCAGAAAGAGCTAAGAGCAACCTGGAACACTGGCCGGAAAGAGCTAAGAGCAACCCGGGACGCTGTGGCCAGAAAGAGCTAAGAGCAACCTGGAACACTGTGGCCGGAAAGAGCTAAGAGCAACCTGGAATGCTGTGGCCCGATAGAGCTAAGAGCAACCTGGAACGCTGTGGCCGGAAAGAGCTAAGAGCAACCTGGAACACTGTGGCCGGAAAGAGCTAAGAGCAACCTGGAACGCTGTGGCCGGAAAGAGCTAAGAGCAACCTGGAACACTGTGGCCGGAAAGAGCTAAGAGCAACCTTGGACGCTGTGGCCGGAAAGAGCTATGAGCAACCTGGGACGTGTGGCCGGAAAGAGCTAAAAAGCAACCTTGGACGCTTTGGCCGGAGAGAGCTAAAAGCAACCTGGAACAATATGCCGGAAAGGGGGCGGCAGGCACACCTGGCCCTCCCCCCCATGTGACCCAATGAGATGCCTAAGGCTGCCTTATTATAGGGACGGCCGTGTGCATGGCCACACTCAGTTTGTGACTTGCGGCCGCACAGAACTTAAGGAAACCTGCACCTCAGCCTTCTCTCCTGCTCCTGACTGTGCCCCCCTCTGCCCCAGGCCCCATGGTGGCCATGTGGGCTGCTATGGTGGTACTTCCGCCACTGGTGTGTTGTCGTGTCAACGTGTGTTTACTTTGTGCATCGACGTGCATGTCCTGTGTTTACTTTGTGCATTGACGTGCATGTTCATTGCGGTTTTGAATTTGTGGTTTGGACTTGGAGTGCTAACAACCATTGGCCAAGGCTTGTTGCCAGCACATGAAAATGCATGAAAACACATGTAACATGCATTATGACGTTGCCATTGACTTATATGGGCCTCTCAACTAAAAACACAGAGGAAACATAGTTTTCAAAATGCTTCGCACTGCAGCGCAGAGATGGGGGAATCTGGCACTATATACATTCTGGATAATAAGAACCAAAAGCTGTGGGTTCTGTGTGCATCTCGTCTGTGTTACATACTAAGCGACAGTGTGACCTGTGTGAATCAGTCTTCAGGAAGAGTTTGAGTACGATGATCAGATAGATATCATAGTAAGACAAATACCACAACACTCTAAAGGGCACCCCAAACTGCTGCATGCAGCAAACTGGGTATGTGGGCTCAGTGTACCACATGAAACCACAGACCTCTGAGCTGTACCATTGGATATAATAGTACAGAATGTTACTCCCGGTTTATGTGCAATAACCTACACAGCAGTGCTGGCATGTAAACAAGCTTTAAAGCTGAACACCGGGCACAAAAGGGGGGAGGGACCCAGCAAGCTCCACCCACTACAGTCTGCCTACACAAGGTGGGTGGATACAAGACCAGTCACCGTGCACTAGGAGGGGGAGCAGCAGTGACCGGTCTTATTACAGGAAAGTCCTGCACAAAGTTTCACATTGGATTACTGCACAGATCTAGAAGAAATACACAAAGCTCACCAAGATTCAAGTAAAAATACACATTTCTCTTGTATTTAGACAATGTTTGTTTATTCTGGAGTTCAGCTTTAAGATAAGACATACAACATCACTTGTGGGTTTTACATGTGGCTGAACACTGAACCTTTGATGCTTCTTATTTTTCACTTCTCTTGCATTTACAGCGGGCAATTAGTGGCTATTGAGGCTTATACACACTGGCTCATGCCAACATATCTAAATGTGAAAATCAAACTCTAGTCCAGGGGTAGGCAACCTCGGCATTCCAGCTGTTGTGGAACTACAAGTCCCATGAGGCATTGCAAGACTGACAGCCACACGCTGGAATCTCTGTCAGGCTTTGCCATCTGTGTCCCTGCTGGTAGAAATTCACTCTCACTATTGGTTCTGGTGACCGGGGTCTCCTGTACAGACGCTGTATCCTTGAGATAGGAAGGTAAGGAAAACTCCTCAATAGGACACAGCATACAAAAAAAGGGGTTTGAACTATTTCCTACAATTTAAAAAACAAAAAAAATGTATTTACCTACTTTTAATAATGTTTCTGCATATATTTTACTTGTAAATTATAGGATAGCATTTGTGTACTTTACAGAGAACTGGAAAGCGCCACAAGCACAGCCCAGTGCCCGCAGGTCACATAAAAAGGGAAGGCCCTGCAAACATGAAGTGGGGTCGAGGATACACAGATCTGGATAGCTGCATAAGAGACCAGCTCAAGCAAACACAAGAAGAGAAGTCTTGACTGAAGAAAAAAAATATTCTTAAGAAGAAAAATGTCTGGCTAAAATAAAATAGTTAAACTTTTCCCAGTGTAGAAAAGACATCCCTTAGGACACTAGCAAAAAACTAAAGCATGCTGGGAGTGAGAGAAGTTCTGTCAGGTTGTCTTTTTGTTTGGCAGTGCCCAAATCCTTCTGTAGGTGGCAGCATAACCCAAGGTCAGGTAACCTTGCACTGCAACTGTGGTGAAGCTACAAACCCTATCATTCCGCTGCCTGTGGGAGTCATGCCTCTGGCTGCCAGAGTCTGGCAATGCCTCATGGGACTTGTAGTGCCAGAACAAATGGATTGCATAACCAAATAACTCTGAATCCTGTGTCCCTCAGTGAACAAAAAAGAAAAAGTGAGGGCTTAACATACACTTTAAGGTAGTGCAAACAACCCCGATGGCTGAAGCATTTTTATTCTTATTTCATTCTATTGTAGCTCGGAGAATGATAACTTCTCATTTGCTATGTGTTCCTATCATTTCCAATTCATTGTTGTCCTTTGCCCTACTTTATTCAATAAATGAAATCTTATCTTTCACTGAGGGGTCGTGGTGGTTGTAGGGGGAAGGAGGGGAATAAGTCATTCGGATTATGAGGGTAAATCAAGTTGGCATGGCCTTCTATCTGACGGCCCATCACAAAACTGCAGTCTGACCTCCATTTCCTACCACCATCAATCTGTAAACTGAAAAGGGAATGAATAGGGAAATTCATTTTCTTTTTAACAGTGTCTTTCAGGAATAGAAGAGATGAATGTATTGCTTTCTCTGAAAAGTAAGCCATCACATGGAGCAAAGGAGGAGGATTAGACTGGGGCTGTGTGACTTAGAGGTTTACATGAATTATGCAGTGTGCAAGACATGCATTCCATGTGGTTTCCTAGAGATTTCACTCCCTTTTACATTCCATCTGCA